ATATATATGTATATATTGATTTTGATGATTTATTTTTTCAATGTCATGTAATTAAAAATATGTATTTATTGATGTAAATAAAATTATATATAGTTTTATATATTTGTGGATTTAATTTTTCCTTATAAAATAATGAAAATGGAGTTAAAAAAGTAGAAAAATGAAAGGGTTAACAATTAATGTGTTGATTGTATATTAAAAATAAATCAAAATAATGAAAAAAAAGATAAATAGGATAGAAGTGTTCTCATTGAACAACATTTTGGTTCTTCCTTTAATATATATATAGACTTTTATACAAAACAATTCCCCCTCTCTCTCTATATTTATATGTATGTGTATATGTTTATAAATAAAGAGTAAATTACGGCTTTGATCCATGTGGTATTCAGATTTTTACGAAAACGGTCCTTAGGCTTCATTTATTACGTAGAATACCTTGTGCTGCACAATTTTTTTTTTTTGGAGATTTGGTCCGTCCACCATTTGTGTTAAACTTGATGCAGCACGGTCTTTTTGTCATTGTTATTTATTTTAATATTTTATAATTAACCTTTTTTAAAAAGGGGTCAAGATGTAAACAAAAATAGTTTGAGGATCGTATATGTTAAAATATGAAGAGCCAAAGTAGAACATCATCATCTTCTTCACGAATTCCTGTCGCTGGTCACCCTTGCCAGCCCCATAGTCGGTGAAATTGAAATATCCCCCCTTTTTCTGCACCACCATTCTCACTTCTAACCACCACCCTCCACCTCAATCTTTCTTTCTCCCACACTCACTATAAAGACAGCATTTCCTTATTCACCTAAACAATAACCCTAATTCGTAGGTTTTCCTGCAACTTTCTACTTCATAGCCCCCACCCTCACGTTTACATATATACATAGACATAGCACATATATAGAATGGAGGTTTCATGGCTCCCCCTTTCTCCTACCCATACACATAGTCAACGACATCACATACATATAAATTGAGGGGAGAGAGAAAAAGAGGTGGGTTTGGTGTTTGTCGTTATGGTCTATGTGTCTGTACAAATGTATAATGTATGTGTATACAAAAATATATATTATTAAATATAAAATAATATTATATGTATTTTTAAAATTATTATTATTCGAAAAAAATGAACAAAAAATGTTAAAATTATGTTGTCTTTGGCCCTTCAAGTTTCAATCTGTACATGTTGGCTGATGATTTTAAAAAAGGTTAATAAAAAATGATAAAGAACAGAATAATGTAAACATACCATTGAGGCCTAAAGTTTGAAGGACTTGGTAAATATTCGTTTGGTCCATGGACCAAATCCATGAAATAGTGCATACCACCAAGCAGGGCCGTCCATTGGGCTGTTAAATATGCCCTTTAGAACAGGGCCCCCAATGTTTTGGGGCCCAAATTTTATAGCCCGTCTATTTATATAACTA